TTGTTTACCATTTACATGGGCAAACCGGTCGGTTTACGGTTTGGGTAAATGGTACGCAAAGTTCAGGACTGGTAAATTTAGTTCCGGAATCGCGTTTACCATTTGTACAGATCAGTTCCATTTAACGGAAAACGGCCGCGAAGGCCTCAAACTGGTATCAAAGATGGCTTTGAGGAAATGGAACACGAATTTCCGTTTGGAATATTTCGTCCGGAAAAACAGGACTACCTTTTCAGATGTTCCGTTGCTCCCGGAAATTTTCCGTTGGGAAGACCCAAAAAGTCGTGTTCCATTTACTTTCTAACCGGATTTCCCGGAAAATTCTTGTAAATGATAACCAACCAATTTTTATGCAAAATTTTGGGGAGCAAACAAGGTGCATTATAGGAGATGGGTAGGTGGAGTATACATTTAAATGTTAAGGACGATAAGATTCTTTTTATGTTTGCCAAATTTCGATTCAGTTCCATCCACTGTGTCGACGTCATAGCCAATAAATCATTTCCCATAGGTAAAATTAGTATAGGTAATAGCATGATTTGTAGTGATTTTTGGCATAAATACCACGAGTGATATTTCAAAATTGTTAAACGCAATTAAGCGAGCCTTTAGGCAAGTGAAGTTTGAGACAATTTTGAAATATCACGTGTTGTATTTATGCCAAATATCACGTACAATACTACCCAAAAAAAGGTTTGTAATTTTCACATGTAAGTATTTCAAATTAAGCTGAAATACCGCTGCTCTAAGCCAATCAAATTGCACAAATTTCTCTTGTTGTAGTATAAAGCCCATATGACCCAGGCCATAAGCTAATTGATGCCTCAAAGAAAAACGATATAGCCCTTTAACCTTCCTCACACGTGTGCTAGACTACTTTGCACATGCTTCAAGGGTCTTTGTGACATGCCCTTAAGGGGCCGACAAGTAAATATCGTATACAGAATGTATTTTGCTTTTCTCCTCAAGTCAAGTTTTCTTAAAGTGTACGCCACTGGGTTGAAGAGCGATGGGCACAACCTTAGATAGTAAATAGTAGTGATAACGAATTCTGGGATATGTGGATCCTGAAGAACGAGCTCAAGAATGAAATAAGGCAACCAAAATAACACGTAAAGACATAACAGCAATACGCATGTCAGGACAGCCCTTCTTTTACGCCGTTGTTTCTTCTTTTCGTGTCTTAAAAAATCGGCTGGCAAGTTTTCCTGTGATATTCTTCGGCGTTGCTTCCGTATTAACAGCAACATGCGTGCGTCTAACGCAACCATAACAATCAGTAAAACTCCGAAAAAAACGGTGAGGTTGAATAGGAGGTAGGTCGTGTCTTTTTCTTGAACAAGAGCCAGGTCTTCTGCGGCGCTGTGGGTGTTGACGTGCGAGGTCCATGACAGTCGAATCAGAGAAGACAGACTTATGAGCCATATGAATCCCAGAACAGTCAAGACCCTGAAGCGGTTGACGATATGGCGATACCTCATAGCCCACTTTATGTAAATGTATCGATCGCAAGTCATGGCAGTGATGTGTAGCACCGTTGACTTTGACATAAAAGTGAAAAATGTGTTGGCACTCAGGCAAACTGGAGTTAAAAATGTAGCGCTGCATGCGACAACGAGAGGTATACCCAAGAAACCCACGAGAAAATCTGACACGGCTAAGCTGCAGAGGATAAGGTTACTGGTGGTTCTAAGAGAGGAGAAGCAGCAAATGAGGAGAATCACACCACCGTTTATTAACAGAATAATAACCATCATGATAATGGCGGGAATCGTGTCCAAGGGAATTCCAGATGAATGAACGAAGGAAGACTGCGGATTATTTCCAGAGTCTGCCATAGTAGTTTGCCTGCCCTTCTGAGATCTATATCATGTGACTGTCTTGTGTCTGATGCTTATCGGTTGACTTCGTTGCTTGTTTGGCGTTCAATCAGAAAGTAGATCCAAAGACGTTTATCACGAGCTGTTTGTCCTTGGGGGATTTGTATCACAGGCTGTTTCTTCTGTAAGAAAAAAAAAGGTAATTGCTATAGTTTGTTGAAAGAAATGAGTTATGATAGACCACGATTAAGATTTCGTACTAAAGCGATAATCGATTGGACGTGCTTGCAAAGCTCGATGAACAGGTGTGTTTGATTTACGCATTTGCATATCCCCAAAAAACAAATATAACAATGAAAAGTCTTTCACGAACAAAAGTTTCGCCACTAATAGATCAGCATCATATCAAAATGTTAGGCAAAAGCCAATTTTCTGAAACACAGTCTGCTTCGAGAAATGAAGCTTTGAGCGGTTTTAAAGAAATTTGATTAACCTCACGGTACTCTATAAGGATTCATTTAGAAGTTCAAAAGTCAAACAATCTCTAAAATATGCTTTATAAAGATGATGCCGGTCTTTTTGAACCAATGAAATAAGCGCATAGACTTCCTCTACATCAATGTTAATTTCAGATCCGAATCGCCATCAAATTCAATTACATCGCTAGCATTCGTCACGATAAATGTAAACATTTCACTTTTCTGATGTTTGGTAATCAATTTCTGAAGTTTCCAGTATGCAAGGTTTTCCATTTTTCAATATAAAGGTGCCCCTCTGAGGGAAGCGTTAATTGTACCTTATTTACGCACAATTTTTAAAAACCTTTAGGGTGGATCACCTATAAACTTGCTAATAAATGATATGGAACCTCAGTATAACAGCGTTTTGGTCACATCAGTAAGCATCTTTTTATACATAGATCAAAATTTCTATCACGATTATCGTGTTTTATACCTTGGGTTTTAAGCAAATTGGAATACATTTAATTAATTAAAAATGACAGATCCAAAATCATGGCGGATTGTTCTATTACCTTTTGTTATATTAGATGACGTCATGATGTCATCACTGCTATTGTTAAAGATTATATGTTAGCAAACTCTATGTTTTTATCAGATAAAGTATTACGTAGGCTTTTTCCTTTATGACCACTTTAAGGGGAAAATTGATGAAATTTGGGTTCTGCCAGTAAATTCAATAATATAGCGTCATAATGACGTCAAATTACGTCATTGTGCCAGTCAAGTTATAACTGGATGTTGGAAATTATGAGTACGCCATTCTATAGAATTTTGGCCGTATTATGAGAAGGTTTTGAAGTTGTAGAGGGGGCAGAAGCAAAAATAAACGCTTTCTGAATAGGGTTAAAAGCCTTTGAAAACACTTACCCATCCTTAGGTTTTCAAAATCACAAGCAATAGTTCAGTTATAGTTATTTGTTTTTACATATTTTATATCGGTCATAATGGTGATTTCATTAACTCGCCCTCGAGGCAATAACGAGAATAACTGCTGTCTAGTCTCTGCTTTACCCAATTCATTACCAGTATTGGCTAGCAAAAAAAAACTCCTTGTGAATCTTTAAAAAATGATAGAAATATGCTATAGAATACTGTGTTAACAACGGTTGATATACTATGGCTTACTAACTCAAGAACCGACGTTTAGTAACCTCTAAGGATGTTTCTTTCCCTGTAACTTTTGCTTTCTTGATTACCTGTCACAAAACAAGTTCGATAAACTGTTTTCTACCTGCACCTTTTACAGTCCTCGCTTTTTCTCCAAATTTTTTGGTTTTACCGGGTTGCTGTTTATGTGTTGGCTTATGATTAGTACAGTGTGCATCTGGTTATACTACATGGAAATAAGATAATACTGAAAAACTTTACGTTTAATTAAAAATTGTAATGACTGTTTGTCTTACTGTGTCAATAAACTAACCAAGGGGTTTTGTTGTGTCGTAACATTTTTACGAAAAGCGGAAATTACATCGGCCAAGGGATAGATACACTCCTTCACTTACCAAGAAGACTTGAGTGTAGTACGTAATTAACGTGTCATGAAGAATAATTGGGAAAATGGAATATTCGCAAGTAGACAATAGACTTATGGACTTGTACGTTACAATTTTCGCGGTTCTTCACAAAACGTTTAGTTTCAATTTCAATATGTATTGTGCATCTTAATTGTGAACGCAAACAAGTATATACTTGTAGGAGCAACGAAACAGACTTGTTTTAATATGGTGGCCGAGTCTTTCTTGAAGCTGCTGAAGATGGAAAAGCCCTCGATTTTTTGAGCTGGTGGAGCAAGGTTTTATTACGCCTAGGTATTTCAACAGAACTGTGACAATGTCAATAGAATAACGCACTTGCAACTTGTCACATGTAGAATGCATCGGAATTCTAAAGAGCTGTCATCTTGGATGTGACATTGTGTTCGAAATTGAAAAATAGGGTCAAAGCAATATATGACCACACCATCAAATCTGGATTTGTATAACTGGAATATGAGATTAAAACACAATGTCACACTTACTTCGGTACACTATTGCCCACTTTCAGAAGATGATGATGATGATGATGATGATATGTGATTGATTTTAGATGTCAAGAGATGGTTACCATGAAAACCGTGTTAACAAAAAACTGTTTTGGATAAATGTCAGACTTAAAGAGACAAATGTCATAGGTTAATGAATGTAAATAATGGGCAGTCTGTGCATTCGAGTACAGGAGCACTATGGGTAGAGAACAAAGTGTTTAACATGGCGGGATGAAGCTCGTGTGAACTGTGCTTTTAACTAAGAATCCATACCATCAAGGACCTAGTTTTGCGTGCAGACGTTACAGTACCTGCAAAAATGTTTTGAAAATCAAAGCTAGAGTTTGAATTCATCACGGAATCTTTTCCCTTGGCTCTTCCCTCGTTGTGCAGAAGGTTGAGGATTAGAGAAGCTGAGTATCACTGTGTTCTTTATACAGAACGAAATGTTGCCGTTGATGTAGACAGCTAAGATGCAATTAAGATACGATCACAAGTGTTTCAGTTCATTCTCCTCTGTCTATGGCAACCTGAATAACCTGACAAAAGGATTTCGAATAAACGCCAAAAAAATCTACATTGACTTTCTACCTGGGCATGACGCAAACGAACAGTAGGAACAAAAACAGGATTAAATAAAGATAGCGTACATTGTCGATGTGCGCGTTTGAGTCTTTGTGTCGGTTAGATTCAGTCTGCACGAAAATCATAAAACTCGGCCCTTCTTTCTTCTTGTTGTCAAGTGAGTTGAAAAGATCAGGCTCTTTTACTTTCTAGTGCCAAATGGGCGATCCGTATATATTTGAGAAAGCTAAGTACTTAGGATAGGAACGCGAAAGGAAATAATAGTAACGTAAATATATGGACTCTATCAGACAATACAATGGTGCATACACTTAAGACTAGAGATATATGTACCAAAAACACAATGCAGTTATATTCTAGAAACTAAACAAAGGAAAACCTGTATCTTCTATTACGTTCTAATAAAAATACGTTCTATTACGTCCATAAACTGAGGTAATTAGTGTACTAATCCTTTGCCAGAAAAAAAAAAACTATAGTCAAGGATTTGGAAAGCACTAAGCCAGGGAAAAACCTTTGTTTTCCTTGAGGGTAATCCATTAAAAAAAATTGTCATTGAATTGTAATATGTTCAGTCGTTTATTTAATATTAAATGTTAGCAACTTTTGATAAGTCAACGAATTATTTTGGTAACTAGTATCAAACTTGGCATAAACATCCGTCTATTATCACGANCAATGCAGTTATATTCTAGAAACTAAACAAAGGAAAACCTGTATCTTCTATTACGTTCTAATAAAAATACGTTCTATTACGTCCATAAACTGAGGTAATTAGTGTACTAATCCTTTGCCAGAAAAAAAAAACTATAGTCAAGGATTTGGAAAGCACTAAGCCAGGGAAAAACCTTTGTTTTCCTTGAGGGTAATCCATTAAAAAAAATTGTCATTGAATTGTAATATGTTCAGTCGTTTATTTAACATTAAATGTTAGCAACTTTTGATAAGTCAACGAATTAATTTGGTAACTAGTATCAAACTTGGCATAAACATCCGTCCATTATCACGAAACCCTTAGTTCTCGTAGACTCTAGTACTTGTGAAAAAGCTTATTAATTTTGCCTAAAGCGAAAATAAACTGGCCTGTCACGGAAAATACGTGTCGATAACGGAACTCATGAAAGTCAAGCAATTTGACCATTCTGGAAGCTTTTCACAGACCGGCCTTTTTTGCCACTCAGAAATGTAATTCTCGCAATTTTATATCCAGATATTTGCTGACACAAAACAAAAAAAATTAAGGTCAGATTTTGACTGAATATTAATGGCAGAGGATATAACAAATGCAAACTTGTGAGGATACGAAATATTCACCGGACATGTTTGAAGTTGATAAAATTCAGGAGCTCTGATAGAGATTTTCTATTATTTTACATTATTTTCTCCCGTTTGGCTTTGATTTATTTCATTATTACTGTACAAGGGATATTATTAAACCTGGACGAGTCTGAAATCGTTCTTCATCTTCTACGTCCAACTGAGCTATGACGTCACTTTTTACAGTTGAAATACATAATTTATTTCAGAGGAAAGAATACAGCATTTTAGTTACATTCGGGAATAATCGTCACAACACCCTCAAAAGAAAAAAATAAACAATTACTATACATTTCCTTATTTTATTCTACTTTTGTATATTAACCCATGTTTAACATGGAAACACAAGAATATTTAACAACGTTCTAGAGTGCAAACGAAGAACACGAGCGAGCCACAAAAAAGCTTGCAAAAACTGGAAAAATGTAATCGATCTCCTTAATTATAAATTCTTAACCATTGTTTACTTCTAGAAAGCAAACGATAAAAATAGCATTTCAAAATATTGTCCACAGCGAAGAATGCCACTAAAGAGAACAAACAGCTCGCTAAAACAGGGAAAACATTGAGTGATCTCCTATAACTCGCTAGCTAGTCGCCATTTGGACATTCTCTGGTATTGCATTGACTGCACTCTTATAGTAATGTTCACTAGTCATGCAAAGGAATCGAAAGACCAGGCGAAAACGAGCATTTATTATTAAAAGATGTACTATCTTAACCAAGTGCTCTACAAAACAGTCTTCTGACCACGATATATTGCGCGTGCTTTTTCATTCAGGAAATAATTAAAAAGCGGGAAAGTGGATAAACAGGAAACATGAAACTTACCTTTCCATTAAGTATAGTTTGTTCGTAGCTAATTATTTTCTGTTTTACGGTACACGGTGTTGCCAAAATGAAGTGACACTTAATTCATTAATCCACGCAGTTCTTCGTCCTTTGATACACTTAGCCCATATCGAAAAATTCATACGATAAATATTGACTGCCGGCATTTTATAAAAACGTATTTCACCCCCACAGGCAATTTAGAATTAATGCAAAATAAATAAAAAGTTATATTAGGTCAATTATCTGAAAATACTGTCTGAAATGTCACAAGGAGCCATTTACTCTTCGTTTTTACATAAATTACTTTCTAATAGCTGTCAAAAGTAACATCATTTTGCTCATATGCATGTTTATCCATTCCCTTATGAAATCAATATTTATCCAGTAGCAAATAAAAGGGATTCGGTCCCATCTTCCGTAAGGATTTTCAAAACGATGTTGAGATAAAAACGCTTCTTCTCATACTTTTAGTGTTTGGTTAATTTGCTCATGCAGACTTAGTTATATTTCCCGAAAATCAAAGATGGCCATCATTTGAACGAGACAATTCATATTTTGCTGTCAATCCTGTAGCTAGAGAATATCGTTGACAGAGAATACAGCTTACAGTTTCCTGAACAATGTTTCTTATCGTCACATATGTATCAACACAAATTCATATTTTTAATTGTTGATGTTGTGTGCTATTCGCTAGAGTGCCTTATTAGTAAAAAATATAGTTGAGGGAATTTGTGTAGGATCAAAGCATTAAAGAGGATAAACTCACGCGACCTGTCACATTTCAGGGTTTGTCACAAAAACCCGGGGGTGGAACGGGGGGGGGGTACTTTCGTCTTTCGTCTTCGCGAGGCTGCTCGTTGCCAATAACGGTTTTCCCGGTTTTCCACAGGAAGCCCAAGTTCGGTGCATAAATTACCGCGAGTTTCTATACTGTTTTGCATATTACGAAAGATATATAAAGGATTTGTATGAGAAATTCATTATAGTTGTTAAAACCAGTAGAAATATAGGTTTAAATAAACTGATGGAAATAATTGTACTTACGTAAACTTGGGCCAGTTGTTGCTTTTTCTGTGTAACCTGGGCTCAGTTCATCGCTATTTTAAACGCTTTTGCGGCTCGTTGTTTGTTCGATGTTGTTTTCCTCCATAGAGCGAAGCAAGGTAGGTCACTGTGCAGGGGCGTAGCCAGGATTTTTCAAAGGGGGTTCACAGAGGCTACTCACCGCTGCTCTCCCTCGTGTATCAGCGGGCTCATTCGTATTATCGCGCTATGAAGGCCCATATTAACTTAACAAAAAAACAAATTTTAAAAAAAGTGGGCTTTTCAACAATGGCTTTTACGGCCAAGATATTGTCATGGCGTTTTCGCCACCTGAATATTGTAGGTTGTATGCTCAAAAGAACGCCTACCAAGGGGGGGTCACGGGCACCCCAGGACCCCCCTAGCTACGCCCTTGCTGTGTGCAGCACAAATCTCTCCCGCATCAAAGAACCGCGCACCGATTCACCATAAAAGCGCCAAATCCTTACGGCCAGGTCAGTCTCTTATCTCCTCCCATCGTCATGGGTATTGCGATGTGTTTTTTGTGGGCAAATGTTTTTGACGTTATTGGTTCTGGGCTATCTAACGTGCTCTCAGGAACCTCGAAGACTACGTGTCGCATGGTGAACGCAAACATTTTATATACGCTCATTCATTTGGATAATTCCAAGCCGTTTACGCGCAATCAGTAGACTATCTGATTACCCAGATCCCCTGGGTCCATGTTCGCATTCACCGCGCAACACGTAGTCATCGATGTTCCTGAGCGCACGTCAGATAGCCCAGAACCAATAACGTTAAAAACATTCCCCGCAAAAAACACATCGCAATTTTCGTGACGAGGGGAGGAGATAAGAGACTGACCTGGCCTTAAGGATTTGGCGCTTTCATGGTAAATCGGTGCGCGGTTCTTTGATGCTGGAGAGATTTGTGAGTTGAGACTGCACACAGCCACCTGCCTTGCTTCGCTTTATGTAGGAAAACAACACAGCTGAACAAACAACGAGCGGCAAGACGGTATAAAAAGGCCATGAATTGAACCCAGGTTACACAGAAAAAGCAACAACAGGCCCAAATTTACGTAAATGCAGTTATTTCTATATTTATGCCTATATTTCTACGTTTTAACAACTATATTGAATTTCTCACACAAAGTCTTTAAATCGTTCGTAATATGCAAAACAGTATAGAAACTCGCGGTAATTTATGCAGCGAGCTTGGGCCGACTGTGGTTTAGCCTGTGCATTACCATGGCTAATAGCTGCGGAGAATTATGGGTTTGGGAACGGCCTTCATCCCGCCAGATTCCGAAATTTGTGTTGACCAAATGAAATTTAAAAACAACCATACATATCTTCCGGGCTTAGTTTATTAAGGATCTAAACTGCTTGAGAAAAGCTTATCAAGAGAGCACCCTTATGATGTTTTTGGCCTGGAAAAATTGGGATTATTATTTTTTTATTTTTTGTGTGAACATACATCTGTTGAAATCGCAATCTTACAACAAGACTGGAAATTCAACGTGATTGTTCTAGTTGTAGGCTGTTTGCTGAAATACTGTGCTAATCCTTGGTTAAATACGTTAAAACAACTTTAAACGTAGATTAAATTGATATCAATCAAGGCTCAAACAACTGAGCATTGAGAACTGATTTAATATTTTTGGTAACGATCTCCTTGCACCTTTAAAAAAAATATTAAGAAAAATACAATTCCTTAAAATTTTAAAGCATATGTGTCAACCCTTGATCACGGAGGAATCATGTCTCATACGTTTTTCTGCGTATGTGGACGTCTGCTTTAGAGTGAATACCCAAATAAAGCTTTCTAGAAGTACTTGTAAGTATGGTTCAATTTGTTATAAATGTTGAAATGAAATTTACAATTTATTTTCTTGGGAATTTTGAAATCTCACGTCTGGAGGCAAAATCCCAGTTAATAAGTCAGGCGAATAAATCATGAAGAATGAACGAGTTCGTTCACAAGCCAGCAGAGCCGTTCATTTACTAGAAATTATCGAATAGTAGTCTCTTGTTCTTTTAATATTCAAACTGTCTGCTCTGTATTTCAAAAGCAGCGATTTCTATATCAACAACAACAGATTAGCAGCGGTAAAAAGTTAAAAACATGAGTAATTATCTTACTCTAATTCCAAATGGCAAGTGAAAAAAATAGAGATGAGCTCTTAAAACCGCGAATTCGAAGACTTTACAATTACCAATAAATGTAAAAATAACATTCCTGTTTAAAGTTCATCAAGGACTCGCTAAGGAAAGAAGCTGAAAGAAGTCATTAGCGCATGAAAATCGTGTGTTATTGGCCATAAACACATTGCAATCAACCAATGAGCTTCCAGATTTTTACAAGTCTAAAAGAGCACGAACTTTTGGACATAAAAAGGCTTTATAAACATTGTATCGTTATTTTCCTACCTTTGCATATAAGAACAGGAGATGATAGCTGTAAGCTCCGCTACTTTTCGATGCAAGACAATAAATTTAAGAAGCAGCTGAGATATGTATATTTAGCCAAACTTAGCGGTCGATATTGCTCCCAATACAAATTTTAGCCGCCTAAGAAAACGAAAAAATGCCAAAAATGTTTAATTAACCAGGCCGACTTCATTAATATCAGGTATTGTGGCCTTGTGAAGTTGTTTGCAGTTATTAAAAAATTCAAACAGGAGCGTTTCTTCTTTTCTCTTTCTACAAAGAAAACGTTACCTTAAACATTTTGAATTCGCCGTGTCGCGTCGGATTTTTAGTTTCTTTCACTATAACTTCACGGCCAAGCCAAGTTTTTCTGTGCTCGAAGGGCCATGACCTTGGACCAAATATCAGCATACTTATTATTTCACTTAACTATTGACTCGTTTTTCTTTATGGAAATGGCTAGAAGAAGTAAACAATAAATAGTTACGAAATTGCGAGAACAGCTTTTTTTTGGGGGGGGGGGGGNACATTAGAAATTTGCTTTTCCCAGTGAATGGTGGCTGGATAGCTATAGCGTTATCTACCTTTTGAACAGCTAGGTTTGTTTGTGTTTATTATATCAGTTGTTGCTGTTTTGTTTTAGATATTGATTCCCTTTTGTCGCAAATAGTTCAGGTCCTTAGTTACAAGTGGGTTTGAAAAATATGACAATAAAACAAAATGTCGCTTTTTGCTAGATTTACTAACAAAATGTTTTCCCGGCCAACATAAATCTTCATGTTTTCTCATCTCTTGCCATAATTCTAACTTTGGTAATGTTACAGTGTATTATTGAAAATTCGACTAGAGGAAAGTTTTCCTAGTCCCTTAAGGCCTCATTATTTAGCCCAGCCAATGCGTTTCGGGTCACGTGGTACGAGAAGGCCTCGGATAAGTTGCCGACGTGAAAAGACCCAGAAGGCCTGGGGGAAACGCCAAAGTGCTGGAACTACGCAAGAGAAATGTGGGGTGGAAGCGAATTTATAATATTTATCTTCTTCCTATCACTGGTTAAAATTTAATGAAATGAAAAATAATCCCCTCATTCCCGGACACCATTTGAAGGGGTGCGGACAAATTTTTCAAGGAGCAAAACTTACACGGATCCGCAATCGCTTACATGGGACCCGCCCAACCACGCAAGGTTTTTTTTTTAATAGCAAAATGTGCAGTATATTTTTAAACCTGATCAGATGTCGGTCAAAATTCCTGACCAGAGAGGTTCCACTTTAAAATCGTGTAATTTCTTGTAGAGTTTGGGCGCTAAAAGCCTGGAGCCTACTTACGTGCCTATAATAAGTCAACGGTTTAGTCAACGGTGCCATAATTTAGCATTTCCTCATATACCACTTGAACCCGTCTTCCATGATTAGGCTTAGCCACAAGTTGCCGATAAATTCCCAAAAAGTTGCCGATAAAAGTGTCTCAAAGTTGCTAAAAGGCTGCCATTTTATTTTTAAAGTTGCCCAAAAGTTTATTTTTTTTACTTGTTTGCACTTCAAGTTGGTTTTATTGCTGTCTTTACCGCCGGGATTTGTCTGGATTTTTCTTTCTCTAGCTATTTTAGGTTTTTCGGGGGTAGCGAGATTTGCGCCCAGCCTTTTAGCTTCCGCAATAGGATTTGATAATCGGGCCTTCATCTGCACGTTTTTCCCAGGTGGAATCTGAATCACTGACAGTATTGGCCGCCATCTTGAAAAACGTGTCATGTGTTCCCGCTGACCTCATGAACAGGCATGCAACACCAAGCTGGCATTGGTAGTTGGACCAGTCTTGGAGTCCACACACTCACACAGTAGTTTAAACCAGTTGAATTATTAAAGCCGACTTCTCTTTCGAAAGCTAAAACATGTCGCGAAAAAAGTAAAAAATAAATTTAAAACGCTAAAAACATCAAAACTTGCCGAAAAATTACCGAGCAACTTGTGGCTAAGCCTTAACCCATCATGCACCTTATTTGCCCCCAGAATTTCGCACAAGCATTGTTTTCAATATCTATTGGGACGGCTGTAATACTCAGGAGAAATGGAAAACAAAGGTTATTCAAAATTTGGGGGCAGGGGGGGGAACAAATAAGGTACATTATGGGAGATGTACAAGTGGCGTATAGGCCATAATGTACCTTGTTTACACTGAAAATTTTGCATAACGATTGTCTTTGATTTCTCTTAGGACGATCGTAATACCCAGGAGAAATTTGGATCAATGGTTATATGCATCTTTTTGGGGGGAGTGGGGGAAGGGGGCTATCAAGGTGCATTATGGTCCACGTGAAACAAAAATTTCTGAGGAGACAGGCGGTAATTTCAGGTGTGCAATATTTTATAATGGCGAGAGCATTCTGGACATTTCTTAGTAATCTTTTTTTTGTTTTTTTTGGCGAACTTCTCTTATTTTGTTTTGACAGTCACCTAATCAACCCATTCTACTGCCTTTTCAGTTTTCTAATCCACTGCCGCTCCATTTTCAGTTTTACCTCAATTTGGAAATTTCATGATTGGTTCAATGCACAAAGCTATTCAGATGTTGAAAATACGCAAAAAAATTGCTCGAACTCGCGATCGTGCAAGTGGTAGTGCAAACTGTGACCGAATTTGCAGAGTTCAGGGTAAACTGGTTGCAGAGGGTAAACTGGTAGCACAGCTGCTCATCATCATCGTTATCATTATCATTTTTGTTGTTGTTTACACTTTTTTATTTATTTAATGTTGTATTTATTTTATTATTTTTTAGGGTGTTAATTATCATTTGGGCTTTATAAAATTAACTAAGGATTTTCCCGGAATTTTTTTTTTCTTGCACCACAGGTAAACAGACGGATCAAAATGATGAAACTATACTTTCGATAAATTAGCTTTTAATGCAATGGATTAAAAGACTCTAGTTTCCTAAAACAATTGCTTAACTTGGCTAATTTACATATCATTGAGCCAGCTGTGTTTGATTCCAACCTTGTTGTATCAAGTGTACCAATACAGCAAATGCTATTTGTATTTATTACTGTTTTCTTCTTATATTTCAGTAAAGAGTACGACACATCACATTTCTAGAGCCAGCATGAACTAATTTTTTTTAACAACACCAAATAGGCAAATGAATTAATAATTACGATAAGAAAAATCAATACAAAGTAGGACAATATATTTTTCAACGACACAGAAAAAAGTCAAAAATTTTTTCATATTTCAGTGGCACAAGGACCCCAACAGATCTCTTATGAACCACGGTAATCCCACCTTTCGCTTTATACGTTAGTCCCACTACTCAGTGGTATTTCCTCAGGTCGCTTTCTGGGTAAACCGTGACGACACGAAGAAAAGACGTTATACCAGGCTCTTTCTGCTGCTCTCTTTAGGTCATACTTTCTTAAAGTATAAATGAGAGGGTTAAATATAGGCGTGCATAGCCTAAGATAGGTAATAGTAGTGCTGACGATGTATGGAACGCCGTATCTATCCCCGAAATAGTGCTGCATTAGCTCCAGGATGAAGTAAGGCAACCAAAGAATCACGTACAGAATAAGCAGCAGCACACAGGTCAGGACTGCCCGTCTTTGCCGTCGTTGCATCTTCTTCTCACGTTTAACTAATTCTGCAGGCAAGTTGTCCCGGGCAATTCTGTAACACTGTTCCCGCAGCAACAGCAACATGTGTGCGTCAAGAATTGCCATAGTAACCAGGGGAATAAAGAAAAAAACGATGAAATTGAACATAAGGTATATTGTCTCCTTCTCTTGGACAAGAGCCAGATCCTCCTTTGCTGTGTGCATGTTAATGTTTAATGTCCATGAAAGACGGACTAACGAGAATAGGCTGATGAACCAAATGAAAGCGACGACAAGGATGGCTCTTCCGCGCTGAACAATCTCGTCGTAACGTAAGGCCCACGTTATGTATATGTAGCGATCACAGGTCATCGCTGTGATGTGAAGCACCGTGGAGAAGGATATAAAGGTGAAAAATATGCTGGAGCTCAGGCAGAGGGGAAAATAAAATGTTGCGCTGCAAGCCACCACGAAAGGGATACCGACGAATCCCACGAGAAAATCAGACACTGCTAAACTGATAAGGATTATGTTGCTTTTTGTCCTCAGGCGGGAATGGCAGCTTATGAGAAGAATTACCCCGCCATTAATTAGTAGAATAAACACCATCATAACAAGGGCGGGAATAGTATCACGGCGAATTCTAGCGCCTGGAAGTACTTCAGTACTGTTATTTGATGCCATCATGTCAGCTTGGAGAGCCTGGTTACGTCAAGCTTTTTGGTACCTTATAGACGGAGTGTCAATGTTGACTCCACTGACTGTTATTTTGATAGTCTGCTGTGAGTCACTTTCACTTAACTGACTTGACGATGGACACTTGGTATTCGAAGACAAACAGTAGTGATATGTGGTAGTTGTTTTTACTGTAAAGAAGAAATTATAAGCAATTCAAAGGTCAGATAACCCAAATCCATGCAAATCAACTGCAGAGTAAGTCTTTAGCGGAGCTCCGCGCACTACCGGAGTACTCGTAAGCAGAGAACTATAGGAAACAAAACTTGGTCAGTACACTCACCTGAAATTTTTAAGCAAAAATACTCAAAACAGGAAAGCGAATGAAAAAAGGCACATTCTAAGGCCGCTTTAAGCATGTCACTACTTAATTAAATATGCATATTAAATTGTTTAATTTAATTAATTTAGAACGGTTTGCTTCCATCAGTGCTCCTGAAAAGTGAACTACAAATGTGGATCGACGAAAAAACCCCGTGAAACGTGATTTCAAATAACAAGTGACATTACTTCATCAATGACGTCACAATAAACGCTTTCTTACCTCAAAGGGACACAGTCAGCTGATACACATGCGCATTGGATACCATATCTTAGCTGATTTGCATGTCACAAGACGCGCATGAAACAAAAGCGAATCCGGAATACTCTAAACAAACCTTGTAGAGTTGAACTATTGTAGTTACAAGCTGAAAGCGTGATTATAGGCCCTAAGCCATATCAGAGCACTCATTTTTACTTCGGCGGAGCGCGAAGTAAAGGATTCACGACGCTCAGGAATGTATCAAAGTTGCCATTTTTTGACAAGATTGGGCAAGCAAAGTCTGTAGGTTTCCGGTTTTATTCGGGTATTTGACGAAGTGAGAGCCGAATTAGTTCGAGATATCTCGAGATCACTTCGATTTCTTTAATTTATTCTTTAACTTTTTTGAGGAAGAAAGAATTATTATTTTGGCTTCCCCGGGGTTTGAACCGACTCACCTGTGTGACCCGTCAGATCAGAGGAGACTTTAAGTTGAGGGATTAGCCGATTGCAATACTGCGACCTAAGGTAGTTTGGGATATGAAAAATAGTTATGAAATGATGCACTAGTTTCGGGACAAGATTGGGCGTGCACGTTTGTGACTTTTCGCCTTGTTTCAACTATTTCACGAAATGAGACCGGACTACTTCGTGATATCTTGAGATCACTTCGATTCGAGTTTAGTTTTTAATTACTCGAGGAATAAACACAGGATATTTCGTTCCCGCGCAGAGACACGAAATTTCTCTTCGAGTGTTGAAAAACATTTCACGAGTGAGCCCTCCTTTCGAACTGTTTTATGATGAATTTAAAGTTACAAAATGCTGCACAAAGACATTTTGTCTTTTTGAGTATTACGTAGTAAAATTGCTTTCATGCGTTGCGTGACTTTCTCGAACGTTCTCTACGTTGTTGGTTTAACCATGAATAATTAATTAGGGTATGTTTACATTTCAGCATGAGTCAGCAAATTTGCATCAGTTACTGAAATCATAAAATATGTCGAAAAGCTACTACTATTCGCCTGTTTAGTATTTTCTAGAACCTTCTGTCAAACGGTATACAAGTTCCAAGAGAGTTCTTTTGACGAAGTAAGTTTTTTCCCACGAGCTGGACTGCTGTGTTTAGTCAAGTGTGACGAAGGTCGATTTTCAGGTTATGTGTTTACAAGTTCGCGGAAGCGGTAAGATATCTGAAGTTCAAGTGAGAGTTTGTTATTATATATTGGTGGAGGCTGTTTAGTTTTACTCAAAGTTCAAGTCAAGTTTGTGTTGGTGGATGCTGTGTTTTAAAGCGCTGTAAAGGCTATGTTCCTTTGGTGTTAAACTTTCTTGTGTTAATCCGACATCCCTGCGTGCTGATAGTCAGTGAATAATTATCCTCAAAACATTCGAACTCGTGACTTTGAGTTTTAGCCAATTCCATGCTCAAGGTAATTGACTCCTTACCCATGCCTTACATATCTTTAATCAGAACATGAGACTGATATGTTGTTTTTGAAGCCTGATGTGACTAACAAAAATAGAGAATTGTTTTTTTAGAAAGATTTGTATGGAGTCATCAAAGCATAACTGGGCTAATATCTCGGAGACAATTTGTCCCGAAATGCTAGTTTTTGGCAAGTAGGCCTCTTGGATGTTTCTCTTTTCAGCCCTGTCTTTTCAGAATATCCTGACAAATCCCATAATTTCACAAATTAATACCTTACTCTTACCATATTTGATTTCTTACTATTCCTCCGCATTTACAATTAATTAGTTCCACAACCACGACGCCGAAGTGTACGCTCCGTAGCTTCTTGTTTTATATACCATTGAGTTTCACCGATGGATTTTTCCAGGGAAAGCCAAACATTGACGAATAATTCCGAATTCGAACATCAGTAGAGGTGAGAAATTGCACGGTTCACGGCCGAGAAAGCTTGATTTTCCAAATATATGAAACCTTTTCCATCGTTTTTCCAAATATACATAGCAATTATTTGCTCGCCAATGTTACTTATTCATTTCTCTTGTTATTTTGGTAAACGAAGGCGATTTCTCCCACCCGACCCATACGCGTTTGTCACCTCTTCTGTTTCATGTTCCTTTGAATACTGTTTTTAACCAAATATGATTAAATAATGTAGTAGGATGAGTGAAAGTTTTCTCAAAAAGAGATGTTCAGTAACAGATCGAGGATCGAATGAAACAGTAGGAAGGAGTGAAGCGTATTTCTAGATGCATCCGACGCGTAGATTTGATTTCGGGTTGAGGTGAACGCTTTTCAAACTGACAAAAGTATTGTCCAGGTCAGCTCGGTCACATAACTGACTGTGTCCCTTTAATCTTAAGAATTTTCACTGCCAAAATGTTACATAAACAGTGTAAATCGTAAATCTACCTTGTATGATTGGAAATTTTATTTATCCTATTAGCTATTTAACTAATTAATAAGTCACGTGACCCTTACCCCTCTATTTACAGATTCCTAGATAACGTAAACACACATGCAAGGCGAATTTTTCAGAACCTCGGAAGTGTACCTAAAAGAACTTGTTGCTCTTTCGTTATCCTTTCCCCATTTTAGACTAAATAATTTGACCGTTAATTATCAATTATCAGTCCCAACGTGATGAAAATTTGAGTTCCCAAAATATCTCATATTGCTAAGGCCATTAACTTACATTTGTAGTTACATTTTTAGGTTCATTGATAGATTAAGCAATCCGTAGCTTTATCAAAATATACATAGTTAATTAGATAGTCATGCCCCAAAATACACTATGACGTGTCCAGACATTTTAGAGAAAACAGTATAATGGTCATCCGCGCTTTTGAAAAGGAAACAGCAAACAGAACAGAAAAAGAAATCGCAAATCTTTGTAAAGAGCGTTGAAAGATCTGTATGGGTGACTAAACTTTCTCTAGCTGCTGTAAGTTTTTTTTTCGACATTTATGCAAAGTTTACGTGTGCCAGAACACAGTGGCCTGTTTCAAAAGTTAATCCATTTAGCATATCATAGTAGTTTTGTGATATCAGTCAAGACATTGGGATTATTGCTTACTTGACTCTACGAGCCGAGAATTAATAAAGTGAGCATCAAAGGGATAATGCTATGATCTGCTTTCAAATTTTGTCAATCTTTAAGAAGATTTATGGAGATCAGTCTGTAGAATTTGTATGTGGATTTTGGGGCTTAAAGGGTTAATTGTTAAGGCACGACAATCCGAAAGTTTCATGCTAAGAATCCTTCCTCAGCCGACCCAGTTTTAGTTAGCTTATATTTCTTTTTATTGCTTACTCTCCTAGATTAAGAAACGTCAATGTAAAACCTGCCTGGTTTTGCCTTTCTTTGTTAGTCCAGATAAAAAAGTTGTTTTTATGACTAAGACACCTGGTAGTGTCTAAGCAATAATCCCAATCTTGCTTGAGTGATATCACAGAACTGCTATGATATGCTTAATGGATTAACCTTTTAAAACTATTTTTTACTTATTTCAGCTCATATCATTTTGCACGCTACAGCCAATAAAAAGTCAACATATCGTAACACTTGAAGAATCTACACACTCTCTCCTTCCAAGGTTCGCATTTCTATCCTTCTATATATTTTTTCCTTTAACGTTATAAATAATGTCTTATTTTCGTTAATTAAACGGTTTTCACAGACCCTGCACCATTCATTGAAACGAAAAATATAACAACTAACAAGAAGAGGAAAATTGTTTGATTGCTAACCTTCTTCAAAGAACCTTCTTCATTCACAGCCTGTGAAGTATGTTTGACTAATTCCACGGTTTAGCCAGAATTTCGCGCTTTTTATGTGCTTGCCGGGGTTTTCATGTTTCCTGTGTATGGTCTATTCAGACTCGTGTTTTACGTTATTGCTCCCTTTTAACGGAAATTTCTCATAATCTCCTAAACTCCAGCACAATTACATTGTGAACTCGTTAACTACTTGTCCTAGTAAGCCTCACTACTTTCACGATAAATGTTTGCGTCTAATTAAGCCATAAAATTGGGAAATACATACAATATTTGTTATCATAAGAAAATCAAGGAGTTTCTTCGGCTCCTTTTTTAAACAGCATTTTCCCTTAAAATTGTCGTGCACTGAAACGTTCGGTGAATTCGAAGACATTCTCAATAGACTCAATTTTCCTTTTATTCAAGAATCGATCAGCATTTATATTTTACGTAATTCCTGGTAATTGTGTTTTGCTCATTGGATCGGTTTTTTCGCGGTTTATAATAAACTCGAACACAATGGATCACTCTTCCTGCTGATAATTCCGAATTTTGATAAATTTCTGTTTTAAATTGCCGCAGCTGTCGAAAAGAATAACTAGCATCATGAGGAGGTTAATCTCAGGAAGGCTGCACGGATCAGTTACAATCAATCATTAGCTTATCCATATTTCAGGGGAACCCAACGAGAATATA